TAGGGGGCCTGAAGGAGGCAGCCAATCAAAGATTCTCTCTCATCATTGATGTTTCTAGCTCTCCCTCTCCCTTCCTCTCTGAAATTAAAAAAAAAAGTAAGAATGCTCATGAGATTTATTCATAATAGTCCAAACTGGAAATAACTCGATGTCCGTTAGTAGTAGAATGGAGAAATAAGGTGGGCACTGTCGTACAATGGAATATTACACAGCAATGAAAAACACCCTCTTGCTACATGGGTCAACATGAACAAATTTCACACACATACTAGTAATGCTGAGCAAAAGAAACCACACACACACACACACACACACACACACACACACCATTTTAAATGACGCTATTTATATGAGGTTCTTAGAGCATCAGCCCCTGGACTGAAGGGTCCCAGGTGTGATTCCAGTCAGGGGCACATACTCAGGTTGCATGCTCGATCCTGGCCCCGGTTGAAGGGTGTGCGGGAGACAATCAAACATCTCTTTCACTTGGATGTTTCTCTCTCTGTCTGTCCCCCTCCCCTCCACTCTCTCTAAAAATCAATGGAAAAGATCCTCTAGTGAGGGTTAGGAAAGAGGATAGGATTACTTTCAGGGCTAGTATTGGCTGGGAGGAGTCACAAAGGGGGGAGTTCTGAAAATGCTTTGCACCTTGGTCCGGATGGTGGTTACACAGATGTATGCATAGCCAAAAATTAATTGAGCTACATGCTTACAATGTGTGCATGTCACTGTATGAAAGTTGTACCTTAAACTAAAAGCACCTTCCCCAATCTCATCCTCCCTCGAGGCACCACTATCTCTAACCCTTCCTTCCGGCCACAGTTGTCAGATTTACCTGCACTGCTTCTGTTTCCCTGTGTCCGTGCTGGCCTCCCTCCACTCTCACCTGGCCGCTCCACCACACAGCCTCCCCACCGCCTCCCAGCGAGCTCGGTGCCACAAAACCTAGGAGACATTCATCTTCGTCTTACTTGATCTCTCTCAAAATCACTAAACACTACTGATCACATCTTCCATCTTAAAGCATTCTAGCGCTGTGCTGTCCATATGGGACAGGAGAAATGTGTGGCTTGGACACCTGAGATACGGCAAGAATGGTGGAGGCACTGGGTTTTACTCAGTCGTTTTTAAAAGCTCCCCAGGTGGTTGCTGAGACCTACTGCTCTCGTCACCACCCCGGCTGCCTTCACCCAGACCCACGGCTTTAATTTCCAACATATGCGCCAACTTATCACACCAGCCTCGTCCTCTCTCAGCTCCGAGCCACATACCCAACTGCCCACTTGTCACCCCGGAGTCAGGACGTCTGGAGCGGAACTCTCAATCGTCCCTCCGGTCCCCACCCCCCTCAGCGTTCTTCTCTGCAGCTCAGGGCCCACCATGCGTCCAGCTTCCCAAGCCAGAAACCTAACTGCCCATTCAACGCCAGGACATCTCATCGCATGTGCCCGTGTTTTCTCATGAACATCGCTTTGGTTTGCTTACTTCTCTCCCTCTCGCCAACATGGTAGCCCAACCTCCCACCTACCTTTGGCTTGACAACTGCAGTGGCCTCCTAGCTGGTTTGCTGCTCCCACTCTTGCCCCTCACAATCTTGAAAAGGCAACTAGGATGTCCCTCTCCCCTAACGACGCTCTCGGTGTCTCCCTCCTGAATTTTCTTCCAACACTGACAGGCCTCTCCCCTCTCATCTCCCACAGCACTCGCCTCCCTCTCCAGTCCAGGCCCCTGGCCTAGGTAAGTCCCTCACACTCTTGCTGATGTCCGACTTTTGTGTGTGCGGCTCCCTCTGTGACTGTGTGGCCCACTCTTCCCTTTTCTCTTGGCCTCGTCATCCTTCAGAGCTCAGCCCACATCACTTCCTCAGGAAGCTTTCCTGCCTGGGTCAGGGCCCCCATCGCATGACATCACAGCACCAGGCAACTGTGATGTGTAGCATTTATAACATTTTTCATCACATATTTGTGAGATTGATTTATTACTTCTCACCCACATTTGATCTTGCCTGCTAGCCTGCAGGGCCCGTGGTGGCAGCATGCACCATGTTTATTTCTTGGCTGCTGTATTGCATCTGTGCTCAATAAATACTTATTGACTGTATGATTGAATGAAAAGTTAAATTCAACCCCAGGACTAGCTTCAGAGCTGAAACCAAGGACAGAACCAAGGTCAGGGCTAGGACCTCAGACAGTAAATGGGACTGGAAATTGGTTAGAAACAGCAACTGGGGCCAGGTGTGGGGCCTGGAAGGGCCAGATGGCACGAGGACTTTGTGAACGGTGTGGCAGAACCTGCCACAGCTGCATGCAACCGCTATGACCGCTAGTAACGCACCACCACAGCTGCGCTACTCCTAATGGCTGCAAACCGGAACCCGATGTCTCACGTCAGTAGACTGGCTTAAATAAAGTGGCTCATTCGCACAGCGGCATGAAATAAAGCAATGCGAGCACATGCAACAACATGGACGGGTCTCCCTAACATGGGGCTGAGCAAATGCAGCCAGACACGAAAGAGAACGTGCTGAAAAAGCCTGTTTGTGTGAAGTGTGAGGCGCAGCAAGGCTACACTGTAGAGTTCCAGGTCAGGAGGGGGTACTGCTGGGGAGTGGTGGGGATCTGGGGCACTAAGACGGCCCTGTCTCCGGACCCAGGTGCTGGCTGACTGTGGGTTCACTGAGGCCAGGACTGGGGAGCACAGGGAGAGGAGGTCTAGAGGCGAGCGGTGGGGTGGGGTGGGGCGCCCGCGCTGAGCCGGGAGGGGCCCTGGTGAAGACAGAGGTGTGCAGGGCAGGGGCGGCCCACGTTCTGTTCTGCTCTGCTCAGGACAAGGGGGAAGGAGGGGCGAGGCGAGGGCTGTGGCTCCTGCAGAGCAGAGGGCAGCGGAGAAGGGCTGGGAGGGGAAACGCTGCCTGGGGAGGGGAAGGGGCAGTGACTGCGCCTCCCCACACACATTTCCTGGCTTCCCACCTTCCACTTCTCCTCTGGGCCTGCGGAAAAGGAGTTTTCAGGCCCTCGCACGGCCACCAGCCCACAAAAGACGAGAGGGAGCTGGACAACAGGAACAGAGCTTGCACAGACAGGTCCTGCCCGAGAAAGCCAGGCAGACAGCTGCCCTTCCGGGGCCCTGCGGCCGGCCTCTCGGCTTGGGGTGTAGCCGCGGGTATAAGGGGGGTACCTACCCTCAACTCCCGTCACCCTGTATCTAAGGCTGTGCAGATCACAGGGTGCACGCACACATAAATACAGTTACACATACACTTGCGTGTGTTCATCCACAAATACTGATAAAGCATGCTCGTATACATGTACACATCTATCCGAACAAGCCTGCATCTGCACACGCGCGCGCACCCACATGCACACGCACACACACACACACACACCCCTCCCCTCGTGCTCCTCCACGCAGCTTCAGTGATGCCTGAGAACGCTGATGTCTCCTCGGCTCGCTGGGCAGCTCTGTGACACAAAGGACTTTAACTGAAATGAGGGGACCCAAGTGGGAGGCCCCTCTCCTGGGGAAATAGGCTCCCCGGGCCCACTCTGCTGGAGGCCTTTGGAGGTGATCCCACAGACCCCCCTCCGTGGTGGGGAGGGGCGTCTGCAGCAGGGAGAGGCTGGTGGGAGCCCAGAGGAGGGACCCCTTCCCAGCCTCCTCTCCTGTCGCCACCACCCTGTCCGCACCTCCAGCTCCTGGAAGAAGCCTATTCTCTCGGCAGGAGGGAAGCGAGCAACATAACATGGGTGTCTCTTGTGTCCCCCCCCTTCGAGCCCCCACTGCACATCTGGGCGCCTCTCTGCAGTGGGCGGGGGACGCAGCTTCACCCTCTTGGCACCCTCCCCTGGCTGGAGGGCTGGCAGGGGTGGGGCCTCCCCAAGCTGTGACTCAGCGTGCTGGGTATTCTATTCGCTGTGGCCAACTCTGACACTTCGCTCATCAGGGACTGTGGGTCCCCAGAGGTGGGGAGAGAGGTGATGCTCTACCAGGGGCGAAGGTAGCGGATTGCAGGCTGTGAGAGGAAGGAGGTGGGGGGGCAGATATTGGGTTGGACCCAGATGGCAAAGAGGGGCCAGGCAGGGAAGCCTTGGGGACCAGATATGCCACATTCGGGGGAGCTAATGGGCAGCGGGATGGAAACACTGAGACAGGATTTCCGAACCCCCAGGTGGGGGGTCAGTGAGAGACAGGAAGGCAGGTTTGGGTCCTGCACCGAGTGACCAGGACTCAAGGGCAAGAAAGTTTGAGGAGTTGAGGTGCCAGATCCCCAGGACTTTCCAGGCTGAACTGGGAAAAGGGGGCGGAGACTGGACCCCGACAGGCGCAGCTGCGGGGTTTCCTACTTGCTTCCCAGTAGTTCCTCTCAGTTCACTTCCAGTTGTTTCCAAGCCATGAAATTCTTTCCAGGCAAGATAAGGGGCCCGCCCGCCCCACCCGGGTGTGTCACGCGTATGGGGGGGGGGGTGTTCAGACGGTCAGAAGCAGGGGGAGTCCCTGGAGGCATCTGTCATCCCAGCCCCCTGGACCGTGAGTCACGGGTGCAGAGCTCTCGGCCAAGAACAAGTTTTAGGATCTCTCTGCGGGTCTGGGAGTGCTGGCTGCTCCAGCATTTCCTACGGGCTCCCGCCCAGGCCCGCCACCCGCACGCTGTCACCTGGTAGTGCCCATCTGGATGCCCAAAGAAGCGTCCTCGCAACTTCCCGAGCGCGGCTCCGCCGCTCCAGCCAGAGCACGTGGGGCTCCGCCGGCCCCTGCCTCCCCGGGGCTCAGCGATGCCACCTGGTGCCACCACCTGGTCCATCCACCCCTTACCCACTGCGCCCGCCACCGGCGTCCTGCCCGGCGCACGGTCCCGTTTCCTCTGCACCAGCAGAAAGTCCCCGTGAGCCGACAAGCATTTGAGGAAGTCCGGGGGCGGGGGCGGATTCCCGAGAGCGCGGCCCTGCCAGCCCTCTCCGGGGCGTAGGGACACTCCCGCGCCCCCCAGACGCGGCCCTTACCCGCAGTGCGCGCGGTGCTCCCACCTGTGCTGCCCACCTCCGGCGCTCGGCGAGGCCAGGAAGGGCTCCCGTCGCCCGGCGCCCGGTCTCGGCAGCCAGCACAGTGAGCGGAGGGAGGCTGCGGGGCAGGGAGAGGGGAGGACCCGCGTGAGGGCAGGGAGGGAGCGGAGATAGGGCAGGCCCGCCGCCCCTCCCACCCCGCCCGGCCTTCCCGTCACCACACGCCCCTCCTCTCTCCCGACTCTCCCCTGACCCCCCCTCTGGCTGGGATGACTGAGTCCCACAATCACCTCAACTTGCCCTCCACCCCTGGTCCCACTCCCGTGTCCTTCCCCCACCCCACCCTACCTTCCCCCAGCCTGACATCGTCCCGCCCGTGCGCTATTCGCGCCCCCACCATTTCTCCACCTGTCGCTCCTGCTCTCAGACTTGCTCTCTCCTCTACCAACACCGTTCCCCACCGGGACCCTCTCTCCCTTTCGCCTCCCTTCCCAGCTGCCATTGCTCCGCCTGGGGTGCCAGCTCCGCCGTCCCCCAGCAATTCTCGTCTGGGGTGTGGGGCAGGAGGAAAGCTCCCTCTCAAGCCCAGATCCCTCCCAGCGTGGGGCCTCCTGGTCCCCCCCTGCCCCCTGCCTGCTCGCTCAGAGCACTGCTCTTCCAGCTCCCATCACTGCCCCTTCCACGCTCCCACCCCAGCAAATTCCTCCAGAAAAGGCAGCTGAGGCTTGGGCACTGGCTGAACACCAGGACATAAAAGCCTCGGGAAGGCAGTTGGGGTGTGGGGAGACAGGGAGGGAAGCCTGAAAGTTAGGTGGACGTTTAGCTGCAGAGCCAGAGGCAGGAGGTCTGGGTGAAGCTGAGGGGGGCAGTGCAGGGTAGGAGTGGGGGCTGGAGGCCAGTCGAAGACCAGCATCACACACCCGCCTAGGCTGCTGGCTGCTTCTCTGGCCTCGGTTCCCATGTGCGGCTGCCCTGGCGAGGGGCTGAGCCCTCCCCACCCGTTTCACACGGAGGACAGTTGCTGCTGCCCCACTGCACACCTCCCCGAGCTGGCCGGCCAGCCGCCCGCCCGAGAAAGGGAGTACAGGAGCCCGACTGCTTGGGTTGGGGCACAGGTGTCCTGGGTCAGGGCTCGCTGGGCGGCACCAAGCTGGGCCAGGTCCCAGTGCGCTCCCTGGGGCCGGGGACAGGCTCGCATGGGTGTCCCCGTGTCTGGGTGTGTTTTTTTTCCTGGCTTTGATAGGGAAGATGAAGTCAGAATCTTGGATGAAGCCGGGTGCAGCTTCCTTCCGCTGTCTTGGCCCGAAGCCCCCACAGCTTCCCAAGATCTCTGGGTGGGGGTCTGAGACACACGATGTGGGGGGGCTGACACCCCAGATTTCAGCACTAGTGTCCCATGGTCATGTCCGTTTTGGGGGTCCCCTGCCTTATGATTTTCTATGTTGGCAGTATGGCCACCACCAGTAGAGCTGGCCTGGGAGGAGCCGGAGCTGGAGCGTGGCGGCGGCCTGCAGTCCAGGCCAGGGCTCTGCACACCTCGGGGCTCGACGAGGCCTCTCCAGGTTGAGACAATCGCTGAGACTCGCTCGATGCCGGGGGTGAAGCCCACGGAGCCTTGGGACAGCCCCGCTCCAGGCCGCTGGCATCTCGTCAGAAAAGCACCAGGCCTCGCCAGAGCAGGTGCCTGGCAGTGCTTGTCAACGGGGCTGTGAAGGGACCGCAGGGAAGAGGGGAGTGCGGTGGGAACCCCAGGCCGCCTTCACCAAGGGGACAGGCAGAAAGGGGTGCTGCCGAGAACTGCCCGCACGCTGCTGTGCTCTGAACCCTGTCAGGTCTTCAGCTCCAGGCCCCCAGCCTCGAATGAACCTCCCAGTCCTTGTCCCGGCCTGGGCCTCGAGGATAAGGGACAAAGAGAAAGGGAGGCCAGGAAGTGTCAGGGCAATTAAGGGCAAGGACCCGAAGGGGAAGGAGGGAAGCAGAGCTGTGGTCCAAGCAGGTCCCGAGAGGGAAAGACATTTGGACGCGGGCTTCCCAGCACAAAGTGCTTTCCCACAGAGGGGCTCTGTGAACTGACGCTAGGAGCCGGCAGTGACTTGACCAAGGGACTCCAATGGTGGGAGGGAGGTGGCCTCAGTGCAGGCTCTCTGGTCCCAAAGCCTGTGCTCTCCCTCCCCAGACAGGAGCCCTGGGAAGATGAAGACTTAGGCAGACACAAGGGAAGGGCCCAGACGGACTCTCTGAGGAGGAGGATGGGCCATCTGGGTCTCTGAACCTTCTTTCTGCATCGCTGTTCCGTAGACTCAGAAGAAATTGCCAAGTTAAGACGGGGTCGACATTTCATTAGTGAGAAGTGGGCTGAGAAGTGGAGAGGAAGAGGAACATGGAGAGAAGAGATGAAGAGACGAGTCTGAGATGAAGATGGGAGAGAACTAAGAGGCTGGAGGGTGGGGGAGCCATAGGAAGAGTTGGACCCTCAGAACTTCCTTTGCCTGGAGACATGGGTGTGGGAGAAGGGAGGAGGGAGGACATTTCTATCTCGTGACAAAAGAAAGTCACACAGTTGTTTTGTTCTCTGCTCTGGGGCGGGTGGGCGCTGTATTTACCAGAGGGACTGAGGTCGCTGTGGCAACCACACATCTGGGCCCCGGAATCCAGATGTGCTGTATCCAGGGCCATAGCAAAATGATGAGGCAAACATTAGGCTCTCCAGTCCTGGCTCCCACAGCTGGGGAGAACACAGCGGCTGGAGTGGGACGTGGAGGGGAGGAGGGCTGAGCGGGGAGAAGAGGAAGTCATGGAGAGTGACAGGAATGTAGACAAAGCGGTGGGAAGGGAAATGGGGACAGGCAGGGTGGCGTGAAAAGGCGGAGGCAGCACAGCCTCAGCAGCAGGAGTGAGAAGAGGAAGAACAAGGAGGAGGAAAGGGAAAGAGTGAAGCAGAGGGGGAGGAAGAGGAAAGCACCAAAGCCAGAAACAAAAGAACGAAGAATAATGGGTCAAAAGGGGAAGGTGATGGGCCTGGCAGGTGGAGGGCAAAAGCAGGAAGGAAACCCTGAGAGAGGAGGAGAGGCGCTGGGCCTGCGGTGGTAAGAACCAGGCAGGCTCCGGAGGGAGGAAAGCAGGCCAGAAAGACAAAGCGGGCCTGGGACAGGGGCCCACAGGGTGCGCGGTGACAGGCCGGGAGGCCTCAGAGGGGCTGTGGCTGCAGATCCGCTTGGACCCAGGGCAGCAGCCCAGAGACTGCCTGCCTCAACCCCCATGGCATGACCACTCTGCACCCTCCGACCCTTCCTACCACCACTCTCCCAGCCAAGGGTCTGACTCCCAGTTCACACCCAAGTGCTGCTGTCCCTTGCCACTCAGCCAGGAGCTGCGTGCCGACCCCCGTCAGGATAACAGCGGACCAGAGCAGAGGACAATGCAAACGCAGCAGGGAGCGGGGAGGAGGGAAAGGTGTCTACTACGGACCAGACCAGACCCTGTGCTCAGCATTTCTCCCTCACACCAACCCTGAGAAGTAGGCACAGGCATCCTACTGAACAGATGAGGAGACCAGGCTTAGTGTTCCACAGCAAGGACAGCACTGAGAAGAGCCAGCTCAGGTGGCCTTGTTCCGGCCGCCTGGATAAGGCTGCACAGGCTCGAGGGGCCCCGGACAGGAAGTGCTGGCCGAGGAGCAGGGCTGCCCTCGAGGGGGAGAGCCTAGTTCCAGGTTGCCACAGTTACTCTGTTTTCTCCCCAAACACAGTAATGGGGGAGGGGGCTGGCTGGACACGTGAGGTTCTTCCTCCCCCTTCAGGCCTGGGCTTGTAGCCCAGGTGGCCCCTGTCCAGTCATCTGGGCATGGAGCCCAGGCCCAGCTCACACCCTCCTGCTGACCCAGGGCACTCCTACAGGCGTCAGAGGCGCGCTGCAAGGAGCCGCTGACGGGGATCCCCACAAGTTGGGTGAGACTCGCCCCTTACCCTTTGCCCTGCTCCCCTTCCTCCTAATAGAAAGCCTTTTCTGCACCCCCGCCCCACCCCTGCCCCCGGTCCTTTTCTTTCAACCGGACCCTCAAGTCTCAGGCTCCTCCAGCTCAGGGCCAACACCATGCTCCTCAACACCCTTCCCTGCTCCCGCCCCAGCCCTTCTCCCCGGGGCCCTTTCTGGGCACAGCCCTGGGCCCCAGCTCAGTTGTTTGTCCAGGAAAGTGAGGGGAGGGAGGGGAACCTGCTAGAATGCAGGGGACCCAGGGAGGCACTCACCCCAAAGGGCGTGGGCCCTGTCCTTCCTGTTTACTCAGACACATTCCAGGATCTGTGTCCTCTGGGCTGTGACACCACAGGGCATCCCTCCCCCCCGCCTGTCCACAGGGCAAGGGGGTCCCGGCCTGTGACCCCACCCAGCCCACCCCATAGCCAGCTGTCTCCAGCGCTTGACTCAGGCACCCTGGCCTTTCCCCCAAACGCTTGTCATGAGCCAGGAAGGCAGCCACAATTCCTTTAACTCCCTCCAAGTTGTTTATTTAATAATAATAATAATTAAAAAAAGATGCACACACACACATAAATCTGATCTTCTTCACCACCCTTCCTTTATACCCAGAAACAAGCTCCTAACGTAAAATGGCCTTTGTCCCGCTCTCCAACTAGAGTCCCACCTCTACCCCCAAAAGAGGAGCCAAGAGTCCAGAGCCCCCCCCCCCCCCCAGCCTCACCCTCACTCAGTCCCCTCAAGAGAGAGGCAGGGGCTGCGTGTTTAGGGAAATGAGAGGAGCCCTACATTCCAAAAAGGGGCGAAGAGAGGTGAGCCCCCTCACCACCAAATAAGTGCTTAACCCCACACCCTGTCCTTCCATTACCAATTGCCCAAGCCCAGGAATCAGGAAAATAAGAAAAGGTCCCACTTGGTGACTCCTCCCCCGCCCCCTAATCCTAAGTCCATGTGAGAGGCAGAGGTCAGGGGTGATTGAGGTAGAGGGGCCGATGGGTGGCCTGGTGGGCCTGGCCGGCTGCAGAAGCTGAGAAGGGGCCACCTGTGGCATTGCCCGGGGTGGAAGGCTGTTTTCGGAGCGAGGGGGGCACCGTGGAGGTCTTGATGTGAATCACCCTGGTGTCCATGACCTCACACTCGATCTGCATCATCTCCTCA